GAGGAACCACCAGGAAGCCATTGTGGCTGGAGCAAAATGCATGGAGAGAATGTAGCTAGTTAAGATTAGAGAGAAAGGAGGGCCAAGATCATGCAGGATAATATGAGCCATAGAAAGTAGTTTGAATTTATTTGAAGTGTGCTGGGAAGATTGAAAGATTTTAAATGAGGAAGATATAATCTGATTTTTATCTTAAAGATACTTCTCTGGCTACTGTGTGGATAATAGATTGAAGAGGGAAAAGAGTAGAAGTGGAATACTCAATAAGAATACTATTGCAGTAGTTACGGGAGAGATGTCATGTGCTTAGACAAATGTGGTGGCAGGGGAAATGGGGAGAAATAGATGGATTTGAGACATATTTAAGAGGCTGAAGTAATTGGCCAGAAAACTGTTGGTAGGTACAGGTGACTGTCAGTGTTTAAGGTATAAATCAGCCACGGATTTGGTAGTGTTCATATCAGGGTAGTCCAGGCTCATGGTAGTAATAAAGAAGTTAGTTTTTTAAAGCACGTTTTCTCTTTTGCAGATAGGAAATGAGAAGGCCCAAATAGCCTACTGCCTTAGTCCAGATTTTAAATAGCAGTAGTCTGTAATCTCTGGCAGGTGGAAATTACTAAGAGGAATAATTGATGCCCTCAAAAACTTGCCTAACCAAGCTTTGTGCAATGTATCTTGGAAGTTCACCAGCAAAGCTTGTGTGTTGACAAAGATGCATGCTGAGACTTGTATAAATAAATGATTTAATAGCGTGGTAGGGTATGGAAACAACACAGCTCTCTACCTTTTCACCAGAAGGCTTGTCTATGCTAGGTAGCCCATAACTTAGCTTTCACTCCTCCTCTCACTATTTAAATTTGCTTTTAGCCCCTCCCATATTATATTGACAGACTAAATCTTCAAACACAGCTTTTGATCATGTCATCCCCCTCCCATGAATCTACAATCTCATTCTTTTGCTGTTTGTAACGAGTTCTGAATTCATAATCAAATTCAAAGCTCTAAACAGCCACCAACCTTTTCTCCTTTTAAGATTCAACACAAAGAATTTATTCCATTTATTGTAATATCTTCAGGACCTAAAGTTATATCCCTAAGTAAGCCTCTCTCCAGCCCAGGTGGGTGCTTTCTTGGTGTGGAGTAGTTGTTGTTGTTATGTGCCGTGGAGTCAGACCCCTCCTTGGGTTGCCGAGGCAGTATCACTATGGAATTAGATTGCCCAACCTGCCTTCCGAGGAGTGGCTGGTGGGTTAGAATCGCCAGCCTTCTGGTTAGCAGTCACGTGCCTTAGCCACTATGCTACCAGAGCTCCCAGTGTGGAGTAGTGGGGAAAGCCAAATGACCTTAGACAATTTACCTAACTACTCTAGATGGTCACCAAGAACTTTTCCTATCTTGATAATCTAGTGGCCTTCTGTTTTTATTGCATTCTACCATGTATGTTCTTTAATTGCCTTAAGACCCTAAGATCAGGGACCTAATCTTTAGTTTTTGTGTATCAAATCCAGGACAGGCTGCTTTGTCATACTGCCATGGAAAAAGCATTAGATTTGAAGTCAGACTGATCTGGGTTTGAATGACAGCATTCTCACTTAGTAGCTTCATGACCTTGGGAAAGCTATTTAACCCTTCTTATTTTTAGGCTTCTGCATTTGTTTCCTTTGTGCCAAGAGGGTGGTGACATGAAGGAAGTGCAGTATCTTAGCAGACATTCCTTTGGGAATTTTGGAGCAAGCAGTTATAGTGGCCACCCTGGTTATTGTTTTCTGCATTCTGAGTTTAAGAACTGGTTGATAGAATTGGAATTAGGAAGGGAAAAAAATCTGGCAGAATTGAGGCTAAGAGGAATGGCTGATAAATGTGCTGAACCTTAGAGAAAAATTATCCATTCTGTAGAAAATTACTTACAAGGCATTTTTGTCTAGACTCACTAGATTTCATGTCTCTAACAAACAGTATCTAACCAATACATGGTCTGAAAATACTCAGTGGAGGCATCTGACCTCCCAAAATCAGTCTTGTTAAAAAAAATCATGAACTGTACCCAAAAGTGCATTTTATTTTTGGAGAGTAGTTTGCAGTCATAAATTTTCCCAGTAATCTGATCATGTGAGTTGTGATTTTAATCCTCACCTTCTTTCTCACCTTCTCCATTTCCCTATGCCTGTGTGCACTTGGGAAAACAGACATGCAGAGATGGTGTGATAGGTCAGCTTCACACCTCTAGTCTTAACTGTTAAGAATTTTAGAGTCAGGCAGCTCTAGTGTTCAAATCCCAGCTCACCTGCACACATTGCCTAACAGTGGACAAGTTATTTTACCTCACTGATCCTGTTTCCTCAAGTCTAAAAGAGATCATTTTTGTGGTAGCCCCAAGTACAGTATCTGGTTCATAGTAGGCAATCAGTAACTGTTTGTTTCCTTTTCCTAAAAGTGCCAATTTCTATTCCAAGGATTGGCTCATTTACTTACTGTGTCTTACCTTAATATTTAAGTGTCTAGGTATTGTAAGAAAGGTATATGAAACATTATTAAACACACAGCATCTTATACTCAGAATTATCACACAGCCAGTCAAAAAGAAACATTACATCTAAGTTGAGCATGTTCAGAAAGCCAATTTGGTTTGGGGACAGCATAGATTCTTTGAATTAGCATAAGTTTGAGAGACAACAATCTCAACAATATTCCATGGTACAGGAACTCGTCACCTATTTCTTGGTCATGTTTTCATTTCTAAATCCCACCTGTATCCTACTAACACAGCTATTTTTATTCTGAGAAAGTATTTAGCTAGCCTAGTAAGGGAGCAGTATTTTATAATAAATGATATCATCTGCCCTGGGGGAGATGATTGCCTAAGTGTCTGCCTCTGAGACTCCATTTAGTCACCACCTCACTTACTAGCTCACTCACTTACTCACTCGCTCTATGTTAGTTAATACTATGGCTATAATTGACAGAAACCCAATACACATTAGCATAACTGAGAAGAGAAACCTATTGCAAAGGACATCTCTTCAGATGGCTGAACCACTGAATGGGCTCAGGGGTAGTTGGGCTTCAGGAACAACAGGAACTAATAATTTGAATGATACTAGGACTCTACTTTTCTCTTCTCTGTCCATCTGATTCATCCTTGTCACTTTCCACACAGGCTGGCCAAAGTCCCTGGTCTAAGATGAGTCCCTAGTCCAAAAATTTGGAAAAGAAACACAATGATACAGCTTGGATCAGATGCCCATTTGGGTTCAGTCACTTGTAGCCAGGAGAATGAGATCATTCATGTCAAGTCATGGTGGTTCCATTAGGAATTACTTGAATGAAATAGAGTGGAGAGAGAACACAGAAGGAGGTTGTTGGCCAGAGAATTCCAGAGATGCTCACTTACCCATCCTGCCATCTTAGGTAGTGGACGCTTGGCTGAAAATACAAAGAAAATCCTTGAGCTGAGATTGCTTGCAACCAAGTGATGGGAGATGGATGTGCAAACAAATTCAGTGTAGTAGTGTTGCCCGTATATACAGGTTAGGAGTACAGTAAAGGTGGTCAAGTTAGGTTAGATCAGACACAACTACTGTTTGTCAGCAATGATGGCTTCACAGCTGGGCACATTATAGGCCTTTTGCATCTACTTGAACTGGTTGAATTGTTAGTTATTCTGGGGACTAGGGATAGCCTTGCATTTTCTGAAGAGAAACATGATATGTTTTTGCATTAAGAGGGCTCTTCATCGAAATGCCTTCTTGAATTACTCATTGAGTAATTGAATTTTAGCTATTTGTCAAATTTTGGAGAGTTCAGATTATCTGAAGTTTAGTTCCTTCTCGATAGCTCTCTAAGCTGGTCTTTAAAAGACTTCTAATAAGGCCAATTAATTAACTTCTTTTACAGGTTTGGTGGTCTGACACTAAACTGATTGCTAATAAAAAAATTCCTTGGTTGTAGTTTGAAGTCCTACTCTGTTCCTTGTAAGGGGACCCAAGAGGCTTTGCCTTAGTCCCTCATTCTCTGCTGTAGTACTGACCTGAAGCATAGCTATAGGTGGTCTCGTGTTTGTCATCCTTCAGTTTGCTCTTTCTCAGGCAAAGCAAACCCATCCTTTCCCCCATCTCCTGTTACATTGGGTGGGCTTCGTCTTGTTCCACAAATCCACATTCTTGAAGATTGCTCCACTGTCATGATTCTTGGCTTGGCCTTTTATATCCATATTTTACCGAATTTTTTATCCTCCTTAATCTCTTCTCTCTATCCTTGCTTGCCCTAACATTTTTATTTATTAAACTTTTTATTTTGAGATAATTATAGATGCACATGTAGATGTAAGAAACAACACAGAGAGATCCTGCATACCCTTTACCCAATTTCCCCCAATGATAACATCTTGGAATCAAATATCAAACTCCCAACCTGATCACCAATGAATAATTCTTTTGACCTGTACACTTTCAGATTTTCCTCTTAAGTGAATTTGAAGGTTGGATAACTAATGAGAAAGGAAACAAAACAAACTTGGGAATTAATTTTTAAAATCCATTAAAAGCCATGTATTAAAAATTCTTTTTCTATTAAACTTTCATATAATATTACAACCATTGAAACAGTCAAAATACAGAACAGTTGCTATAGCATTTTAACACATAGATTTCTTCACATTTTTCTTTTTCTTATCTCTTAGACTCTTCTCATTCATGTATTCATTGCCCCAGGGGTTTAACGGTGTCAAGATTCCTACAGGTTTTATATTCTCTTTGATACATTGACTAAATTCTCATGTTGTCAATTTCTTACAGTGTAAACTTGTATTCTATAAATTACCTACCTAGAATAAATATCATTTGAATGGCTCAGGGTGGCCTTAAAATTCCACAAGACCTGATCTGTTGTAAGCTTTGTAGTGTCTCAGTTTCAGACGAATCATGATGTCCAAGAGTATGGGGGCCGATGTGGTCCTGATCTTTGAGACTTAAGAGCTCTAACCAGTCGCTTTCCCCTAAAAGGACAATTCTGCACTGAAGATGTGGATGAATGTCTGCTGCAACCCAATGCCTGTCAAAACGGGGGCACCTGTACCAACCGCAATGGGGGCTACGGCTGTGTGTGTGTTAATGGTTGGAGTGGAGATGACTGCAGTGAGAACATTGATGACTGTGCCTTCGCCTCCTGCACTGCAGGCTCCACCTGCATTGACCGCGTGGCCTCCTTCTCTTGCATGTGCCCAGAAGGAAAGGCAGGTAAGGACAGCAGGAAGACAGAGATGGGAATCAGGAAGGATGGGTGTGTATCCAGGACCTCACCTTCTCTCTCATCCTGACAGCAGTGTTCTTTGAATTACCATCTTTAGGAATAGGTCACTCAAGACTTTTCTTCTGGAAATGTAATCTGCTAGCCAAAATGTTATGTGTTATTCTTCTTCCTTTGGGCTTTAAAACTCTGTATACCTCAGTTTTTCATTCCAAAAAAAAGTAACTATGATCTTTGGAGGTATCCGTCAATCTCCTTCAGCTCTCAGGCTGAAAAGCACCTCAGAAATTAAGACAAGTGATCAAATGGATTCAAGCACTTCACTTAAAGAAGAAATAATCCATTTTCTGGAGTTGGCAATAGAAAAGTATCTAAAGGCAATGCAGCCCTCAATGTCTATGGAAAAATTCCTGTAAGGGAGGTTTTTCACAACTACAGAGTTAACATTAACATCACTCCAGTCTCTGTCAGTTTAACAGCTTCGAGTTCTAAAAGTAGAAAAGCAATGAAGGGGAAAAATGTGATGGAAGAATATAGCTGATGCAGAGAGAACGTTCTGCCCAGAAGTTTTGAAATGTTCTTGTACCTTTGCCTTTTCAAAAGCTCCGCCTCCAGCTTTGTGGAAGAAGTCTTAGTTACCTGTTCTTACGCTAACTGCAGACTGGAAAATCCAGTTCCTGTGTGAACTAGGCAGAACATGGGGCCTGGTAATATCTTCAGTCTGGGGGCACGAGAGCCAGGAATGTTGGTACTATAAAAAGGCTACTTTCAGAATGGCTGATGATGTTCAGCTGCTTTTTTTCTTCTCAGGCTCCTGGAATGCTGATGGTCCTGTGTGCATCAGGCAACATGATTTTTCCCTCCACTAAAACCAGCTTGATTTAAATTGTATTTACAATTTCTAAAAAAGACATATAATAAGTCAAATATCAAACTCCCAACCTGATCACCAATGAATAATTCTTTTGACCTGTACACTTTCAGATTTTCCTCTTAAGTGAATTTGAAGGTTGGATAACTAATGAGAGAGGAAACAAAACAAACTTGGGAATTAATTTTTAAAATTAATTAAAAGCCATGTATTAAAAATTCTTTTGACATTTCTTGACTTAGTATTACATGCATTAGGGCCAGGAGAAAAGCAGAATGATAGCATATTAATCTTTTTACCTCTTTTTTTTTTTTTTTTTAAAGAAATCATTCATGGTTTGATTTCAGAATCTCCAAACAATTTAAGTCATGGCAGAGGGTTGAAGGATGGTTTGTAGTTAGAAGCTCTTAAACATGGAAACCATGGTCTCTTCAAGATGCCTGACATAGTTTTATGCATAGAGGATAGAGCTGAGTGAGTAAAGTAAACTTAAGTATGTGAAGGGGCTTTATACAAATCCCCATTTTTGTAAGCAAGGCTGAACTGTGTGAACAGCTACTTTTGCCTGCACTCAAGTGGCTTAAGTCCCAGCATTGAAAAGTGTTTGACGACCACCGTCTTTCTTCCCATTCATTCCTACGTTCAACAAATATTTATGGAGTAGGAACTGTGTTCCTGAATTTTACTCCAGCAATAGCAATAGCAAAAAAAAAAAAAAAAAAGGCTGTTGAGGACAATCTACAAACAAAATAGTCTGAAAGCCAAAGCAAAAATGGATTTCTCAAAGCTTCAGAGAAAGAAGGGAAGTAGCATATGAGGTCATTCCAGTGTCTGACCTCCCTCAAGCAGCATGATTTTGGGGAAGTATGGTTGCCAGCAAAAATACAGGATGTATGCAACATTGGTGATACAGTTACACTAAAAAGTTTTTGTTTTTGTTTTTGTTTTTTTTTAATCTGAAATTCAAATGGAGCTGGGCATCCTCTGTTTTCATTTTCTAAATTTGGCAACTGTATCAGAATACCTCCAGTTTCCTATCTCCTACTCATTCTCTAGCCTGTGGGTGTCCTAGCAGAGGTCTAGCCAAGGGATCAGGGGCAGAGTATTAGAGTAATCTATAGCAGCTGGTTGCTTTGCTGATGGTTGTAGACTGTCCCTAAGGTAGGGTCAGGAAAGGGAATGTTGCATCTAAATCTCCATGTTAGATTTTGATCAGCTGATCATGAGATTTTTTTTCCTTCCCTGTGAAAGAGAAAACTCTTTACTAAAGTGAGGGGTATTTTATCTTCTTTGTCCCAAACTGTGACAGGTCTGTTGTGTCATCTGGATGATGCATGCATCAGCAATCCTTGCCACAAGGGGGCACTATGTGACACCAACCCGCTGAATGGGCAGTATATTTGCACCTGCCCACAAGGCTACAAAGGAGCTGACTGTACAGAAGATGTAGATGAGTGTGCCATGGGTGAGTATACAGACCCTTTTCCTACTCATTGTGATGTCTGTCAAGTTCAGCAAGCATTTAAACATAAGCATACTTTACTGTAGGACCATATTAAATACAAACCTCAGGTCTGTCCTGATACATGTGCACTGTTCTCACCTAACCTTTTCAAGATAACCATATATTCCATTCTGAGAAATGGAACGTCTGAATGGTCTGTACTTGATTCAATATGCAGCCCTTTCTCAGTGACAGTTTGGTCAGAAGAAGTACAGAGATGCATAAGAGTTTAGATTGCCCTAGTTTCATTTTCCTTTTTATTTTTTTTAATTAGGGAAGGAAATAGGGAATTGAGAGCTAGATCATTAAAGGACTGGCCTTAGTGCTACGAGCATCAAACCCACTTCTGTAGTCCCCATTTGTTGAAACTCTTTCAAGAGCTTTGATCTAGTAATCGGTGCTTGTGTATTTCAGCCAATAGCAATCCATGTGAGCACGCAGGGAAATGTGTGAATACAGAAGGTGCTTTCCACTGTGAATGTCTAAAGGGCTATGCAGGGCCTCGTTGTGAAATGGACATCAATGAATGTCATTCAGACCCCTGCCAGAACGATGCCACCTGTTTGGATAAGATTGGAGGATTCACATGTCTGTGCATGCCAGGTAAATGGGTCCATCTGTGGAGACTATCTAGAGAGAAGAGACTGCACATTTCCCTTAGGTGGGACATTCAATATAATACAGCAGTTCCACTAGCTTTTTCAGCATTGAATTCCCTGTATTTACTGATGAGTATATGAAGTCAAGGATTCCAGCCAAAGGGACCCTTAAAGAGTAAGGTATTAATGGAATTTTTAGAGCTATATAGCTAACATTAGGCAAACCAATTAGGTCTAAATCCGGATATGTGAACTTTCAGAAGTGAATTGTATTTAATCAAGTATTCTTTAATAAAGGGTGCACTAGAAGAATCCTTTGTATACCAAACTTTCTTAATTCTCTGATATGCTACAAATTCCATACCATTCAATTCATTGAAATTATTTTATCCATAGTTACATAGGCTCTTGCCAATTATCCAAAGTAAGGCATGTTTGCTTATGTTTTGGAGCTCTTCTGCAGAAACCATTTCTTGAGTCCTCAGAGGACAAATCTAGTTTAGAGTGATGATCATGCTTCCTATTTAAGGATGCAAGCTCCTCTCACCTTTGGAAGGCCTCCTGACCTTGACCTGAACCCTCAGAGCAACAGCAACTCAGGCTCTGCTGGTCTTTGGGAACATAGAGTGGGGACTTTTTGTGGTCTGGCACTATCTTGAAAGTATGGATTGGTCACAGAGATTATAGGACAGTCTTAGTTTGCATGCTAGGTCTTACCTGTCTCTTTAAAGGTGACGTGCTTCCCTCATTATTCCCCAATCTCTCAAAGCTTAGAGTGACTATTTCCTGTTTTCATAGTCCCCTTTTCCTTTGCAGAAATGTTCTTGCTTGTAGAAGATGTAGCCATTTTTGAAAATGTGTGCTTTCTTGGATAGAATACTTCTTTCCTCTGTTCTGAGCTACTTGTGTGGTCTACTTTGTTCAGGTTTCAAAGGTGTGCATTGTGAATTGGAGATAAATGAATGTCAGAGCAACCCTTGTGTGAACAATGGGCAGTGTGTGGATAAAGTCAATCGCTTTCAGTGTCTGTGTCCGCCTGGTAAGTGCCCACCACCTGCCCCTGTTTTCTTTTAAAGCACAAAGCCTACTGATTACAGGGAGGGAGGAGGGAGAGCATGTGTGTGGGCTAAACATGAGGAAATCATTAAAGTGAATACTTCATGATAGTGTGTGTGTAAAGATGGGGAAATTGTTTTAGCTAGTGTATCTTCCAAATCCTTTGTGGCCAGAAGTCCAAGTCTATTCTTGAGTGGCCCATGATCTCTCTGTCTGTGTGTATATTTCGGAAAGCTCATACCTCACAGAGGCCTTGTAATAGGCTATCCAGGATTCCTTCCTCCTGCATGGGTCATGTTCCTGAAGCCCCTCTATGAGACTATTATTTCTAGACATTTCACCCATGGGCCCAGAAACAGCACAAGTCAGTTTCTTCCAAAGAAAGCTATGTCTCTCCTTTTCCTTCCCAAAGCTGTTGTTGAAGATATGCCAGATTGTCTGCCTTATGCTATGTATAGCCTCTCCTTGTTTCTTCAGAGAGGAGGTTCCAATTGCTTCTCAAGCTGTAGTTACTTGCCTGAGGGCTCCTCCCTATAGCATTTCAGTCCCTACTTACTCCAATGGTAAGATCTATGCCTGGAAGAAACAGTAGTGGAAAGACACTACAGGTGTCTTCAGTGTCCCTGAGGTTCACTCAATTATTTGAGTTACCTGCTGGGAAGAGAGATTCTCTGTATTGCTGACCCGTTGGTATAAGCCCTGCCAGTAACCTAACCCACCCCTTCTTTGGCATCATTTTTGTATTAAAAGAAGACACAGGATAATTTTTTGAATTGTGTTAATGATGTGCCTTTTTAAGGTTTCACTGGGCCTGTTTGTCAGATTGATATTGATGACTGTTCCAGTACTCCGTGTCTGAATGGGGCAAAGTGTATTGATCACCCAAATGGATATGAATGCCAGTGTGCCACAGGTAAAGTTCTCACTTTCCATCCCCTTGGTAGGCCTACCTGAATGAAAGCAGAATGATAGTACTGGGCTAGCTGCTCTGCCAGGCCGGTCCACCAACAGGGCTGCCCTGTGTTCATGAGAGGCCCTCTTCCAGAAGATTTTTTGCTGCTTTCACTATTTCCTTTTATAACATCTGCCCTCCTCTGCGCTACAATGGTGGCCTGGCCTGGTTATTTCCACTTGGTGCCCAAGTCTTTCTGGGGCAGAGTTTGGCAACAGTGAGTTTCCAGCTGGCTTGACCTACTCCTTTGGGAAAGGGAAGAATTCCAGTTAAAGCTATTTTTCACTGAGGCTTCTCGGCAGGAGGCTTGTCTCCATGTTTCTCGAAGCAAGTGACTGAACAAAGGCTGAGAAATTTAAACACCAATTGTGTGGAAGTGCAGAGGTTTTTTACATAAAAGAACTAATGCTGTTGCGAGTCAGGTGTGTAACCAGCAGGAGAGAGCACCCTAACTGGGAATATTTGGGCCTTCTTTTCTGCGTTCTGCTACTTGTTCACAAATATACTATGTTTTTGGATCTGTAGCCCCATTTCTCACTTGGTAAGTGGATTTGAATAGGCCCAACATCCCCTGCTACACATTGGATTCTACACAGGCCTGCATTCTAGAGAACAATGAGGCTTTTAAATACATTAGTAGGAAAGGTGAATTCTCCATTTCTTTTTTCTCTTATTGCTTGAAAGAGAAAATAAGTTATGAATATAGTTCAAAGCATTATCTTATTTTAGGAAGATGGATTCTTAAAGTATTTTAAGTGCCATGTGCATGGTTTCTTTCTAACCACAGGAAAGCAAACTTACTCAGAAAAACCAGTGTTAGTATTTCTTTGGGAGCTCTGGTAGCATAGTGGCTAAGACA